AGCCGCCTTTAAAAGCCTTTTAATGGACTTTGGCTTGGACGGATGGCAAAAAGGTTAACCTGGTTTCTTTGGAGGTCACAGGGGTGCTCGAATATCATCCAAAGCTCTCATCGTAGCCTAGCCTTCCCCCATCCCTTCTCCTTGTTTCAAATTTTGGAGGCTCCCACCTGTCTCAAATTATTACCTCCTAGAAGGCAGCTAATATTGGCACAATAGAACCACCAAGGGTGTCTGTTGAGGCCTGCGGAACTGGCAGTAGAGTCGGAGAATGAGGAGGTTGGGGAGGAGCATGGGCCAGTCCTGGAGGCTGGGAAGGCTCGGATGAGGGCTCTGTGTCGGAGGCAGAGAGGGGGCCAGAGCCATATGCCAGTTATCAGCTGCCTTCAGAGTCAGACATCAGTGAGGCAGAAGAACAGTGTGAACCTGTTCCCAGTGTGCACATGCACAGAGCTGCCAGAAGGCAAGAATGATTAAGAAAAAAAGGGCAATTCGGGAGTAAGGCTTGGAGATGATTGGCCCCTCCCATAAGACATAAAAGGGATGTGAGCCAATTAGTTCATATAATTGGTTCAAGCTCTGAGAAGTTCTGTTTGATTCTGTGCTACGTTTGGCCTTGCAAAACTAATTAGCAATTCGGTCTCTGGCAGCGTTTCAAGGGAGATAAAGGTGGGCGCTTATCAACATTACCCTGAAAGACTGCGGCAACTCGAGCAGACATCTGTCGGACTCTTCACAGACTCTTTGTGAATCATTACAGGCAGGGGTGGGTCCTGGCTGCTGCTACTACTGGTTTGCTCAGGGACGTGCCGCATGCGCAGTACTAAAAAAATCCTTCCGCACATAGCCAAAAATAAGATGGCGCTGGCTATGGAGCCGCTGAGAGAACTAGTTTGGGAGCATGGCAGGCCTGAGTCACTGCCGGTTCTAACAACCCAGGCTGCCAAGTTACTACCGGTTTGGCTGAACCAGTCCGAACCAGTAGGAACTCACCTCTGGTTACGGCCTTGAATGACTATAATTCACAGCCGCCTAAATAAAAGAGGGTTTTGGGGACTAAGGTTGTGGTTTATGATTTCTCAGGGAGCCTAGGTCAGACCACCACCAAGGGCATCCACAGAAAAGGTCCAAATAGATCCAGATGATCAAATGATCAAATTCCACCCTCTTTTAACATGCGATCACAAATGATCAGTGAAAAATAAAAATCAGGAGACCTTAAACACCTTTCCAGATAATCTGACATATTTTTTTTTTGAGGTAGGTCGGTGCAACATAGCAAAGCAACGACCTTCATATAATATCCACAATTGGTCCTTTTTCTGGGTTCACCCACAACTCAACTCATTGAGTCAGGTTGGCATCAGGGGGTCTCCTCATAGATGGTGAAGTCAAGATGGCAACCCCAACTGTGCCACTGACGTTATGGCTGTTTTGAGGGGGCTGTCACAGGTTTGGGAACGCTCTGGTGACATTCTACACTAGGACACAAAACAGAACCAATCAAGGTTTTGTTTTGATCAAGTGGTGTAGGGTTTCCTGCCTAGGCAGGGCTTATAAGACCGCCAAGGTGCCTTCCAGCCCTGTTATTCTATATTCTAAGATTAACACTAACAGGAACCAACTGACCAGGCTTAGCATGTTGTGTGAAGGAAGCCACTAGGCCACTGGTGGGATTCAGCCAGTTCACACCTCTTCGGGAGAACCGGTTGTTAACTTCCTAAGTAGTTTGGAGAACCGGTTGTTGGACGAAATCTCATTTTGTTTTTTTCCCACTTTACAGGGCTAATCCTGTAAGGAAGGCAGGAAGGAAACATTCTGGTGTTATTTCTAGCCTCATCTTTATTGCTCTCCTTTCAGAATCTGCCTCTCCGGTTAACCCTTATTACATTGTAACAGCTAAGGTGAAGTGCCCATCAACATGAGTGATGTTGAGTTG